AGGTAGAGTTGATCCTATTCTAAATTAGGTTCATCTGAGGGCACTTACATAAGAAAGTTAGTTCTTTGTGTCATACTTTCAGGAACAAAAACAAATTAGAATTCATTCTGGAAAGGGTCCTTTGTTCATAGCCTGTTCTCAGAATAGCTATAGGAAATGAAGACAGACCGTCTGGATTATGTCAGCACAGTAAGTGCTCCATGTTTGTTGGCTGAATTAATGAAAGAGAAGAAAAGGGTAGAGTGAGGAAGAGAGAGGATATTATACTCTAAAACATTTCAATGTCTGGCAAAGGGAACTAGACATTATATTTGTTCCATACACCTTTGGGGAACAATAGGTACAAATTACAGGGACACTGCTTGGCTCAATATAAAGAGCAGGGCTATCTTGGGAGGTGAGGTGACACTGCTTCAGCTGATGGTGAGTCACTCCTTCAATTCAAGGTGGATGCACCTCCTGGTGCACATGTTATAGAGGGAACTCAAGCATGGAAAAGGTGGCTGGACTGCAGTGATATTTATGATTTCTTCCAACCTCAAAATCTAGGATTCTGTAAATGTCTTCCTAACTAAGGTAACAACCACAAGGATAGAAGTAGGTTGTTAGCAGTGACGTCTACCAAATGGCATACAGTACTTGATGGCATATAGATTCATCCCTGAAACGCTTCTATGCATGAATCAGAACTGAGTCTAAAATGAAAGGATACCTCTTTTTCTGCCAATTAAGACAGTACTCTTGCAATTGAAAGTTAATGTTTCTAAAAGACATTAAATACCTACACAATTTTCTTTTGTAATTCCAGGGGTGTCATAAAACCAGTGGGCATCTTTCACATCTTGTGGGGTCAGTTCTACTCGTTTGGTGGATTTATCTGCAACCATAACAGGTTCATTTCCCATGTCAAAGGCAAGTGAATCGGCATCAAACTCAAAGGCAGCTTTATTCTTCTGTTCTTCTGAATACAAGAATGTTCTTCCAACTCTTCCTAGAACAAGTTATACTGAAGTTAGTAGTCACTCCTTTAAAGCTTTTGACTTGAGACAGGTAGTTCTTAAGTTTGCCTCGTAGAAGTTACTAGGACTAACAATGGTGTTTGGAAGGAAGTGAGACCACAATGATACTTTTGCTTTACTTCTAAATGCAGTGGGAGTCGGACTCTTGCATTGATCAAGTATGTGTGGCTGGCTGTGCGAAGGGGGAGAGTGTTGGGAATCAAACTGTTTTTAGTAAAGAAAGGTTGTAAAGAGATACCAAGGAAAGGGGGACAATCCAATTTAAACCTGCTGCAGGTCAACAACTTGTACTGGTGTGTAAGGAGGGGGCTGGTATCTTAGTGAAAATGCTTGTTGCTGACAATGGCCAGAGAGGCAGTTATTTGCATTTCCTTTCCTGGACTTCTCCAAGTATCTACTGTCTCAATTTTCCCAACACAATGAATTCTGGGTTTCCAAACAGTAGCCTTGCCTCTAAAAGGCCTCTATGTTCCAGAAAGAGGGAGTGTCTCTCCCCACAAAAACTGGCTAGCTCCAGAGAGCTCTATTTCAGGTTGTTCTACAGAAAATTTTAGCATAGACCTAAGGAAGAGTTTTCCTACAGAAGATGCTTACCTACTACATAACCATGCTTTTTCAAGAGATTAAGTTTATTTTGTTCTTGCTGACTAAGATCTTCTTCTGCTTCAGTTGCATCTCTTTTAAGCCTTTTTTGCCTTTGAAACATTCTGTAAGGAGTTGGGTTACAAATAGGAAACTTCAGAAGGTTTAATGTAGTACCTGAAATACCAAAGAATACATACATTCTTATAAACGTTGTACAAGAAAATGGAATAAAACATTTATGAGGATCTACACTGTCTTGGATACTGTGATTATTTCTCTTAACTTTCATGACAACCCTCCACAAAATTATTCTTACTTTACAGATGAGGCAATAGGTTCAGAGATTGGCCCACAAGCTCAACCAGGATTTGAATGCCAAATCTACAGGCCTGATCTTTTTCCATCTTCTGCATACTCCTAACCGGTATAAAAGCACTTCTGTGTATAAGTCAACCAGTGTCCCTGACAGAGAAGTACAGCTTATCAAGCAAAGTTCAACACTGGTTTCAAAGAATCAAATGAATTAGTTCGCTTTGCCAACTATTAGATACAAACAGGTCACAGAAGGACCCATTTTGCAATTACTACAGACGTTTCTTAAAGTCACAAAGTTGATATTTCTTTGCAACAAAGCCACATATATTGCATTAGTGAATTATCCAAATGTTAAATCTGTATAGTACTCTCAAACTCAAGATATGAAGAGTGAGACTGAAGGGTGGAGGGAGGTTTAGAAAGTAAAAGGACTTTCTGGAGAAATATACAAAGAACTAAAGTTACAAGGGAAACCTCCAAGAGAGCAGACACTGCTTTGTCCCCTGGTTCATCTACAGTGCCTAGAACAGTGACTGGTACCTAGAAGTACTCTAATTATTTCTATTGGAAAGTTACTAAAACACGTACTGAATTTCCAAGCATTAAACTGACACAAAAGAGAAATGTGACCGAAGTAGGTAGAGAATTTTTAAAGGAAGCCTCCAGCCAGCCCCTGGTGTACATTAAGGAAGGATATAGGACTAGGTGCCTGCACTACGATCAGACTTCCAGCTTCTCAGAAAACGAAGGAGGGTACTTCCGTGGTGGTGCAGTGGGTAAGACTCCACGCTCCCAATGCAGGAGGCCTGAGTTTGATCCCTGGTCAGGGAACTAGATCCCACATGCATGCCACAACTAAGAAGCCAGCCTTCCGCAACTAAGGAGCCCAAGTGCTGCAACTAAGGAGCCTGCTTACCTCAGGACCAGGCACAACCAAATAAATATTTTAAAAAAATAACGAAGGGGACGGGTATCCTAAGGCTCACCAGGCCAAGAGGAGATGGTGGCTCTGTCGATAGCCTCAGCGCCCTTGGCGATGCAGTAATCGGACTCCAGGAGCGTGTTGAAGAGAGTGGACTTGCCAGCGTTGGTGGCGCCAACCAGGTAGACGTCGCCGCGGTAGCGCCAGGAACGCTGGAGCGCGGAGATCAACTCTTCGACTCCATAGCCAGTCTTGGCGCTGATGAGCCGCACGTCTCTGAGCACCGTGCGGGACCTGGGCGAAAGATTCGCATTCTCCTCCCCGTCCCGTGGCCGGTCCCCGCTGGGGTGTTGTGGCCTTCGGTAGCCAGGGGGCGGCAGGAGCCCGGCGCGGGTACAGTCGTCCCACAGTCGCTCCCGGAGCCGCTGTCGGTAGCCGGGAGTATCCTGGGGCAGCAGGTCCACCTTGTTTCCCAGCACGATCAGCTGCTTGGGGCCCACCAGCGCGGGCAGGTGGGGCAGCAGGGCGTCGGGCAGATCAAGCAGGTCCACCATGTACAGCACCAGGGCGGGCTCGGGCCGCCGCAGCGCGGCGGTCACCAGCTCCAGGTACTGCTCGCGACACACCTGCACGTGCAGGGCGCGCTGGTGATGCACCAGCAGCCAGCAGCGCTGGCACACGGTCTGCGCCAGTCCGCCGTCCTCCTGCGCCGCCGCGCTGAGGAACTTCTCGCTGGGCAGGTAACCGGGCAGTCCCGGGTCCTGGCAGTGCAGCTCCGCCCCGCAACCCGAACAGTTCAGGCCGCTGGGCGGCACCTTCGCGTCCGGGTGCCCCACGACCGGGTGCACCCGCCGGCCGGTGCGTAGTTTCTGCTGCCGCCGCTCCTCCCGCCGGTGCAGCACCCGTCGCTCCTCCTCCTCCTGACGCTGCTGCAGCTCCCGCAGCTGGTCTTGGAGGGTCACTGCGGGCTCCGAATCCGGGACGTACTCGGGGAACACAAAACTCTCCTCCATGTCAGCCCTTCCTTGGTTATCCCCAGTCGCTGTCGCGCCACGGGGAAGCCCACATCCCAGGCCGGAGGAGTGCCGGGAGGTGGAGTTGGCCGCACGTCTCCTCTCGAGGAGCGTCTCCCGGAGGCCATGGCGCGCTATCGTGGGAGTGGATCCCCGCAGGAAGCTGCACAGCAGCCTACGAGTGAGGCCCGCGGGCAGCATGAGAAACGCGGGCGTGGGCAAAGGGGCTGAGCCACCTTTTCTCACGTGCTCTGTGGCCCCAGACGTGCGTAAAACAGTAGCGACAGCCCGGGACTACCTGAGAGGGGTCATTTTTCAGCGTCGCACTTCAGCTCCTCCCGAGTCTAATCTCGTGAGTTCTCGCGATGAAGGCTCTGTGGTCAGAGAGCCCACTTAAAGCGGAGATAAAAGCTCCGGGCACCTTAAGTGGGGTGGGTTGGCCCAATAGGCTAGTGAGTGAGGGTTTACCAACTTTCAGGCTTCTTCAACGCGCCGCCGCTGGCACTACTTGCCGTTAAGAAATCACATTTTTTAAAGCTTTGTGTTGTTTTGTCTTTCGGACTGGAAAATAGAAAATCTAATGCCGCAGACTTATGGCCACAATTAAAACCTTTTATTAATACATCTTCCTGGCTTTATTATTTTTTTGCGGGTGTCAGTATTTGTGCAACAAGATTAAAAATATTTCTTAAACATTTTAAAAAATTGACTATGGTTTATGTACACAGAAATCTTTTTTTTTTTTTTTTTTTGCGGTACGCGGACTCACTGTTGTGGCCTCTCCCGTTGCGGAGCACAGGCTCCGGAACACAGAAATCATTTTTTAAATCTTCGTGTTTTTAAGTCTTTGGAACCGAAAAAAATAAAGCATGGCTACAACTAAACCCTTTATTATTAAATCTTTTTGACTTTTTTTTTTTAGGTGCCATTATTTGTGCAACAACACTGAAAAACAAAGTTTCATTGTCTGGATCCGACTCAAACTGTAAGGAACAGTTCTCATTCTCAGGCACGGGGAAACTTCGGCCCACAAATCGCGCATGCACAATACTAACCCTTAACACAGCTTAACCGACCCTTCGCGCAGGCGCAGACCTTAATTGGCGTCTTTGTGGGCGGAGCTTCGTGTGGGACGCAGAGTATTCTGGGAACGCCGGAGACGGAAATTACTTCGCCTCTCGCTGCGGACGTCGTTGTCGTTGCGCGCCTTTCCGTCTGTGATTTCTAGAGTTAGGAGCTCAGGAACCGTTTGCCAATATGTATGACGCGGACGAGGGTAGGTGACCACCCAGAACACTCAGTGGCGGCCCGCCTAAGGGGGGAAACGTGGGTAGCTAGACGAGTTGAGGATTTGCGGTCTCCTCCTCGGCCCGCCGCACCCTGGCCCCAGTCGTTTCCGCACACTCCCGAGGCCGGGAACGAATCCGGGATTTTGAGAGGTGGAGGGTGCAGGGAACGTAGCCTTTATCATCTCGGTCAGGGTGACTCTTGTTCTCTCCTCTGTCTGCCCCTGGGTGAGTCTGACACTCCCTTCCCGTGTTGAAAACAGCTCGCAGAACCATGCGACAGGTTCCGTTGTTCCGACTTTGAAGCAAAGGACTCCTTTCTTGATTTCCCTTAAGGCGAGAGTTAATGAATTTATGAATAGTTGAATTTTTGAGCATCACCCTGTGCCAGGCATTGTGTTAGGCTCTGGAAGAACTCTGGGGACAAGGAATATAGTTTCTGTGTGTGTGCGGCGCGGGGGCAGGGTTTGGTTTAGTTTGGCGTTCCTTCATGCTGTCATATGCCTAAGTAAATTATCTTAAAAGATGACCTTTACATTTCCTCTGTCCGCGAGATGACACAGTTCTAGATGGTATGTATTTTAACGAACAGGGACAGTATGTCTTTTTACATATAGAGTTCGTAGTCACGTGTCGTGTATTTTCATTGTATATTTTTAATGCTCCCTCTTCCGTTCTCCAAAGCTGCTATTTCAAAGTTCGTTTTCTTCTAGCTCCCAATCTCCTGGCCACCACTTACATTTCTCTTTATTCCCTCAGCTACTTCATGGAGAAAATAGAAGCAAAAACTTAAACTCTACTGTTTAAACTTGTCTCATTTTTATCTTGCGTCTAGAAATTTATTAGCATCATTGTATTCTTTTTCTTAACTCCTGAGAAAAAAAAGTTTTTTCAGCTTAATTTTTTGAGTAGGTAATACAGTCTCATTTCTCAGAGGCTAGAAAACATAAAAATGTTAAAAAGGATAAATGGTCTATAAGTATAACTAAAACTGACTTCATTATTACCTCTCATTTTCCAACCTTCCTACTTCTCCTGGGTGGCTGTGATAATAACATCTAGTGTGCCATCAAAGCTAGAAATCTCCAAGCCATTTTAGATACCTTTGTCTATTTTACCTCGCCCCCCATGTGTAGGAGTCAGTAATTCCAGACCATTCAAGAAGCACTTATTAATAATTTATTTTGGATATGTATCAAATTTTGAATCAAAGTTGTTAAGTTTTACAGACTATGTATATAGGTCAGAATAGAAAAACAAAAATAGAGCACATTTATTCTTTTGCATAAGAAGATGAGACTAATATTAGCACCAGTGCACACTGATTTTTCAAATGCCCCATTTTATAAATTACTGTTGCTGCACAAACTCCCCAAAGTTTTGCTGCTTAAAAATTATTTAATATGTTCATGGATTAAATGAGTCAGGAATTTGGACAGGCATAGTAGGAATGGCTTGTCTGTTGCCTGATGTCTGTCAGTGGTTGAACTGGGAAGACACAAAGGCTGAGTGTTGACTGCTGGGGGCTGGGTGATCTGGAGTGTTTACTCATGTGTCTGGCATCTAGCCTAGGAAAACACAAGGACTAGGATTGCTGATTGCAGCATCTCATAAGTGGGCCCACCGTTTAGATTTTCTCACCTAAGTAGTAGGAGTTCTTAATGGCAGCTCAGGGCTCCAGAAGTAAGTGTTTCAATAAAGAAGGTGGAATTGCATTGTTTTTCCTGACCTAGCTTCTAAAATCATGTAGCATTGCTTTAGCTGTATTCTCTTAGTTATGGGAGAGTCAAAAACCCACCCAGATTCAAGGGGAGGAAGCATAGACCCTCTATATTTTGATGGTAGGAGTGTCAAGATCACTTTATAAAAGAGCATGTGAAATGGAAGATAGTTGTGTCCATCTTTGGAAAATACAGCCTGTCATCCCTGTCCATGTGTGAAATGTTGCTGTAATAGACAGCTCACCTTAAGGTATTGCCCAGCTATTGGAGTCCTTTGCTGACTCCTCCCTCTTAACCTGATCTCTGACTCCAGTCTCTGAGGAGCCTGTTGATCAGAGGATTATGAGCTTGCTCCTAGTTATCATTATAGTTAGTTATTAATGAGAATTATATGGGCTTCTTGGAGATGATGGAACAGTTACAGATTCACACGACTTGCACTGAACCTTTCTCACGAGGCCTCTTTGTGTATTGGGAGAATACTGTGACGTAGACCTATGTATGTGTACATATATACCTATGTATATTGTTTCATTACAGTTCAAGTAATGTGATGACTGAAATTTTAAAGAAGTGGGGTAAAGCGATTGTTTTTTATTTAGTAAAGAGTAAATGTGTTTTTGCTACTTCACATCATAGTAAGATGTGAGCTAGTAGTATTTATTGCAAGTGAGAATGATTTTTTTTGTTTTTGCAGATATGCAATATGATGAGGATGATGATGAAATCACACCAGATTTGTGGCAAGAGGCATGCTGGATTGTAATTAGGTAACTTTTTAGACCAAACTGAATAAATTTTAAAAGGCACTGTAAACCATACAGGGATTTCCTGCTTATTCTGTGTTTGAAAATTAGATGTTCTGTGTGAATATGCTGCATGAGAGCTGGTTTGTCATTTTATTTATTTATTTAACTTTTAAAGTATTTTGATATACAGAAAAGTTACACAAAGAATTCATGTACACTTCACCCAGATTCCCTAAATGTTAACCTTATGCTGTGTTTTCTTTGCCTTATTCTTTCTCTGTCTACGTATTTTTTTTCTGAAATATTTGAGTTAGTTGTTTACCTAGGAATATTCTTTTACAGAATCATAATCTTATTAAAATAAGGAAATTAATACAGTAATCTTATTTAATCTAGAGACCTTACGCAGATTTTGCCAGTGTCCCAGTAATGTTCATAGCAAAATAAAAATTTTCTTATCCTGGATCCAACATAAGATCATATATTACATCTTGTTTTCATGACCTATTCTTTTGTCTCCTATAATCTACAACAGTTCCTCAATCTTCCTTTCTTTTTTTTGTTTCTCAAACTCACCATCTCTCCACAGCTTCCCATGACCTCACCTTTTTTTTTGACCTTGACATTTTTGAAGAATATAGGCAAATTAATTTTTAGACTGCCCCTCAGTTTGGGTTTGTCTGATGTTTCCTCATGATTAGATTCAGATGATTACTTTTGGCAACACTGATGTTCTGCTCTCAGTGCATTGTATCAGGAGGCACATGATGCCCATTTGTTACATTACTGATGCTGTTAATTTGATTCCTCTTGGTTTTCTCCTTGTTTTAAATGGATAAAGTTATAACAGGTGGTATTTCGACCCACATTCCCATCCAATTCTAAGTGTAATTAAACTGTAATAAAACTCAGCAGGAAGCCTTACATATAGGTAAGAGAAGTAACTTTTAAGTAATAAAATAACATCCTGCTATGTTAGGATATAAAATGCTACAAGTCTCCTCACTTACCAAACTGACAGGTGCTTTGTATATAGTAACATTTTGATGCCTGTTTGAGCCCCACCATCTCCAAGATGCACATCCTCTCAGTTGACACTCTCAAAGAGCACAAGTTTCTGACATTCTACCAGTTGTGTATGGAATAAAACTGAACCTTTGCTGAAGGTTGTTTTGTTAAAAATATGAGTTTTGGGGATGTAAGTATGTGTTTATTTTTCCTATTAAACATGGGCTATAAACACTTTGTATTGAGACACTTGAATCTTCTATGATTTTGAATATTAAACATGAAGAGACATTTTTAGCCAGATATTTGGAGTATGCCTATATTTTGTGATTGCCAGGGAGAAAGAATATTTTGATCTTAGCCAAAAAAAACAAATTGTTTCTTATGTGACAAATTGCTCAAGGATTATATATGCTATTTGACAAGTCCTTGCATTTAACATTTGTTACAGAATAAAATGCCGTTTGATCTTTATATTTTAATTGATTATAGGTGCTTTAGTTATTTGTGATATGACATTTTGTTTTTTTCACTATTTAATATCAAGTGATCTTTCCCAAGCATTGTGAATGTGATATTACTTAATATATAGTGACTTCAGTAAGATGTCTCTTGGACAATAGTCATGGTAGTAGATACCATAAATAAGAACTATTCAAACAGTTTAGGTGTTTAAGGGATGGCATTCTAATGAAGTACAGTCCTAATGATTTTGGGCAGAGTAACTATGGTTCAGCTTCCTGGGAGGATGAAAATTGTCCATAGTTTTTTAAAGATTTTTCATTGTAAATTGTCCATAAAAACCATTGCTGTTTACCTTACAGATTGTGCTTTCCATGTGCTTATGTACCAATGGCTGACCCAAATGGTTGTGAGAAATTTCTTTCCTGTCAGCTCACAGTCTCTACTGAAGGAAGTTGCCTGCACTCTTCTTGAGTCTGTGCCTTATACAGGGATGAATGTGTACTGTGTTCTCTGCCATAGAGAGCTTCTAATATTGGTGGCCACGGTTGATTGAATCAGGGTGGAACCTTGACCCAAAGCCAGCCAATCTGTAGGCTGGCCAGTTACGTGTGAGGTGATCTGATGATGCCAAAATGGAAGGCTGATGATTAGTTGGGCTACGAATGTTGTCTCAGAAAATTGATGTGAGGATGGGGGAGTTAGTTACTAGGCAGAGAGGGCAAGGAGCTAAGTCCAGCTATGCAGCTTTTCCTGTGTGGTGGTGAGGGGAGAGATTCCTCTTGCAAACAGTGTGTCTACTCTTTTCGAGTCTCTGTCCTTCTTTAGGGCTTCAGTATTTGATTTCTGTGTCTATACTAATAGCTTTGATCTCTCACCCTTGCTCCATTTTTAATCAGTCATTTGCTGAGTATTTTCACTTGAATGACTTAGTCCCACCTTACCTTTAACATATTCAAAGTAGAATAATCTTTAACCTAAAATCAAAGTTCTTACACATGCTATATTTTAGTCATTGATATCATTTTCTTCCCTCTTATTCAAATTAAAGTTCTTATTTTTATCTTTTTTTCCATGCTTTTTTTTGTTATATAAGTTTTAGGTGGACAGCATTATAGTTCAACATCTGAATACACTACAGAGGGATCACCACCACAGTCTAGTTACCATCCATCACCATACATTTGACCCCCTTCACCCATTTCACCCACACACTAACCCCCTCCTCTCTGGTAACCACTAATCTGTTCTCTGTGTTTGTGAGCTTTTGTTATCTTTTGTTTGTCGGTTGGTTTTGGTTTGGTTTTTTTTTTTTTAAGATTCCACATATGAGTGAAATCATGTGGTATTTGTTTTTCTCTGACTTTTTTCACTTAGCATAATATTCTCTTCGTCTGTCCATGTTGTCATTTATTTTTCTCTTTGACTATGCATTTCATTAGTTTTGAGAAATGTTTCAAGAGGTTGGATGAAATTTATCTATAAAGGACATTTATAAATTAGGGCTTCCTTATAGTTCTTATGTTGTGCTTTAATAATTTTACCCACAAGTATGTCTCATTTCCCCAAACTTAACAATAAGTTCTACAAAGAGAGTGTTCCTAATCTCACCTCTTTTTTGGACACCTCATAGTATTTTTTGTAGTGATGGGTGCAGAGTGTTGGTATTTAATGATTAGTATTTGTCAAAATTGATGATAATGAAAATGGGGAAATATGCTAGAAAACATCAGTGGGTGTAACTGATTATGAACTCAAATATTTTCCCAGTTCCTATTTTGATGAGAAAGGCTTGGTCAGACAACAGCTGGATTCTTTTGATGAGTTTATTCAGATGTCTGTTCAAAGAATTGTGGAAGATGCTCCACCTATAGACCTACAAGCCGAAGCTCAGCATGCTAGTGGAGAAGTTGAAGAACCGGTAAGATGGTTCAATAAAGTAACATAAATAAGGGTATTGATTTGAAATTTCAGTCCTTCTCTCACCTGGCTTAAAGGTTAAAAAAAGAAAAAGTTAGGAGGTGTTTTTATGAGTGTACTTATAACGTTTCAGTCAGCTCCTGATTTATTCTTACTAATGGAGAGATGCCTTTTTGCAAGTAATGCAAAACCCTAATTCTTTTTCAGATAGTATGTGTTTAATAGCCAGGAAGAGGAAACTCAGAGGTATGATGAACTACAAAGAGAAGCAAGCCAGAAATAGTCATGTTGCCTCAGAAAATCCCACTTTTTTCTTTCACAGAGTAAGGAATCAAAAGAAAAATAGGTGAAGGACCTTTTTCCCTTGATTATTTGTTGCATGAAATACATTATTATATCAATATAAGAGATAATAAGGGAAAATCACCCAAATATATTAGCTCTTTTAACTTTTCTAAGTTCATTGTAGTCTTTTTGTTTACACATATGCATGTTTTCAGCATTGTTAAACCATAGCAAGGCTATCATTTTAGAATCTAGTTTTACATGAGTGATTGTAAATAACTGTGTAGTCCAAAAAATGACTGTCCCTAGTTTTTTTGTTTGTTTGTTTGTTTTAACATTATTTATTTATTTATTGGCTGCGCCGCCTGGCTTGCGGGACCTCAGTTCCCTGACCAGGGATTGAACCTGAACCACGGCAGTGAAAGCCCATCATCCTAACCGCTAGGCCACCAGGGAACTCCCATGTCCTTAGTTTCTGAGTAGAGAGGCAGCATGATGGGCCTTGAGGGACAGGGAAAGCTAAAAAAAAAATGAGGTAGAGAAGAAGTAGAATTAGAGGGAGAGATTATTTCCTGCCAGTTCAGTCCCTCTTTTCTGTAGCTTATCTTGTAAGGGCTAATGTATTATTCTCATTCTAGTTGGAGGTGCTGCACAGACTTTTGCTGTTAAGAACAAAAATAATTGGCTCTTCTGGCACTGTGTTGGAAAAATGGGTGTAAAATGCTTTTCCTATACTTACGACGTTTTCTCTTCATGGTCTTTTCAAAACAAGAGAGATAACAATATAACATAGCAGCTTCATAGTGCCAGAATAAGTACTACCAAAGAGATCTCTCAAGCTTGGCTATCAGAGCTTAGTGGAAAAGATGGGAGGGACTTAAGCTGACTGTGAAGGGTGTTTGTCTTAGTTAGGGAAAAGATATTTAATCATTTCAGCAAAAATACTTTGTGTTTTTGGCTTATGGCTGGAATAGAGGGACCACAGTAGTCAGTATATTGTTTTTGGTTTGATCTGTTTTTGATAGGTGTTCGTGGAAGATAGGATGGAACCAGATTGTCACATGCTTTGGATGTCATGGGGCATTGTGGAAAGATTGTCAAAGAATGTACATGAAGCATTATTTTTAAAAGGTTACTTTGGAAATGGTGTTTACTTGGAGTGGGAAGAGGCTGGAGTCAGATTAAAATCTTGGAATAGCTGAAGTTTCAGATAATAATGTCCTAGATTAGGGTAATAGTGGAAATGAGTAGTTGGATGGCTGAATTCCTTTTGGTTCATTATCACCACTAGTTCTCTTTGCTCTTTACCTACTCCAGTTTGGGAAACTTGGGTATTAATAATTTTCCTTTAGTGGTCTGCTTAGTCCCGTCTTTTCCTTTTCTGATATTTGATTTAGAGAGAAATCCACTATCCATTTAGCTCTGGAAAGTTCTCATGGATCTTGTTTTATTGGGTAGCAGATAGATATTTAATTGAAAACTTTTCTTTCTCCTTTCTTCCTTTCTTTCTCTCTTAACTATGGACTGAGCTAAAGTCAGCCAGGGTTGGAAATTCTCACTCCTTTATGTAGAATAGTAATTAGGATTTTCTGTGTGTTTTTAAATTCCTCTTTGCACAGAGCAGTATATGAAGGTGGCTGTCATCCTGACTCTATACATCCCTTACACAAAAATGCCCCCCAAGGATGCCCGGTTATCCACCCCACTTCCGTTTTGGAGAATTGGCAGGTGGGGCAAAACACTAAGTCTCAGGAGGGTTTCTTGAGACATTTTTGTGGGAAGTTTTGGGTCAAGGGGAGAGATGAGACCCAACAGTGGGTGTGCCATCCTCTGCCTTCCTGGGGAAATCCAAATCCCAAAAGTTTTCTGAAGAGAGGCACCTCTCTCAGTGACCTAGGGAGGGGAGGTGACTAGATGACCAGACCTACTGCCTGGATGTAAGGCTGAGGCAGAGAGAGGACAGGGTTAAGCAGATATCTCAGACCCAAGACAGAAGAATGAAATGCCAAGAGAGGGGGAGAAGGGGACTGAGAGATCCCAGAGGCCCAAGTCATCAATTCCACCCTGTCTCCAGTTCTGAGCAGAAACTCTTCTTCCCAAGACTACAATGGAGTTTTAGTTCAGGGACTGGCTTTGCTCCAGGGCACAGAGAGGACAAGCCAGGCAGAGATCCCACAGGTAATGAAGGTGGAGAGTTAAGATATCGGACAAAAAGATGGACGCTCCCACAATGGGTACGCACAGACCACAGCAGTTTTGAAACTATAAGCCAGGATCAGGGTAAAACATGCAGCTGTGGCTGAAATATAGAATGTTATAGGCCCTCTCCATTAAATTTAAATCACTGCTTATTCCACTCTGTCCCCTGCCTATGAGCTGTTTCCAAGGTTTTTTCCAAGGCTGGAGTCCTGGACAGTAAGAAGGAATGGGAGAAAATACTGAGGCCAGCATGTAGGGCTGCGGCTGAGACTTGATATGCCTCTCCCCACCCCCACTCATTCTGTAGAAAAGAATTTGCTCTCCCTCCCCTTGATGGGCTGTTGGGATGAAGGCAGGGTAAAGACAAAGGGAGGAAAACACTCAGCACATTCTTTCTCCTGCTTTGATCTGAAGTGTAGCTGCAGCCAAAGGGCACAGAAGTGGGGGAGAAAATATGAGGGATAGGAAAGCATGGGAGCATAATCCAGTTGAGAAAGGAAGAGGGTTCTTCCACTGCCCTGTGTCCAAAAATCTGCTGAGAGCTTTAGTCCCGGAACTGCAAAAAAGAGTGCGAAGGAATGGGAAGCGTATATGGGTTTGTGGGGGAGGCAGCCACAGACAGGATGGAGATCTAAGGATCCCTGGGATCCCCGAGCTGACTCTGAGAGCATTAGTTGGGGGACTGGATGAGAAGTCACAGCAGACATGTGGATTTTTTGAGGGGGTATGGAGCCAGGAACAGTGAGGTCTTCACCGAAGGAGTGACCACTTGATCTGTTCTTTGGCTGACTGCAGCACCTGAGACTCAGTCTGCTCTGTAAGGGGGACATCTCCCCTTAATGCCACCCGCTGTACCGCTTGCTGGGGATTGCTCTCTAGGATCACCCCTCAATCTACGATTTCATCCACAACCAAGAAGAACCCCTCCATGTTCTTCAGCAGAGCTCACTTTTCTACATTTTTCCTTAGCATCTGGCTCAGTGAGTCGAAGAAGAGGCAGTTCAGAATAGCCATGAGCATCATTTCATTTTCGTATGAGCTGCCAATCCTATAGAAATAGAGATCGATAACTGCTTTTGCATACCACTGTCAGGCCTCCCAAGAGGGCAGTTTCAGTGTCAGTCTGACAGGTCTTGTTGAAAGTGTTCTTCTCAAAGGCCTTTTGCTCCTTGACACCGAGGTAGCTGTCATCGCAGTACTTGGCGAAAAATCTATTTCCATCATTGTCCAGAGTCAGAATGGCTTTAACAGTGTACAAGGAGGGGTCCAAAATCAGTGCGTCTGTCTTGCCCCATAGCTGGTACCGATGTCTTCTGTACCTTTAATTGAAGAGTTAGGTTTTCTTTTTTTCTATCTTCTGTTGATTAGTTTAGAACACACTTCTAATTGTATGAATTTATCTTTTCTTTGTTTTCTGATAACTTTGTTAACCTGGCCTAAACTAAGGAGAGGGCACATGAAACAGCTATACAGATCATTAATGCAAATCCATTTCAGTTGTTTGATATGAACTCAGAGCTTAGTCTTTATTTACTTGTGATACATTAAATCTCCTTTTGTCTTCCACCTTAAAAAGTGATGAAGTATAAAACTTGACATTTGTGGAGTATGAATGTTGCCCTGGGAGAGTCACCATTTTAGTAAAGTGGATTAACTTTGGCATTTTCTAGAGCTGTCTCTACTCAAAATGTTAATGTTGATTAAAATGGAATCATTAAATCGTTTATGGAAAAAAATTATTTACCCTTTTCCATTGTTTTTGTTTTCATTTTAGCCAAGATACTTGCTGAAGTTCGAACAAATTTACCTCTCCAAGCCTACCCATTGGGAAAGAGATGGTGCTCCATCACCGATGATGCCAAATGAGGCCAGATTAAGAAATCTCACGTAAGAAAGATATTTCTTTTCCAGCAGCTGATATTGAAATAAGATTCAGAAAATAAAATTTTAGCCAGTTGAGAGTTTTAGTAATCACCTTAGTATTCACTTGTGATCTACTTTTATTTTCAAAGGTACTCTGCTCCACTTTATGTTGATATAACAAAAACAGTCATTAAAGAAGGCGAAGAACAACTTCAGACACAGCATCAGAAAACTTTTATAGGAAAAATTCCAATTATGTTGCGTTCAACTTACTGCCTATTGAATGGCTTAACAGATCGTGATCTTTGTGAGTTAAATGAATGCCCCTTGGATCCTGGTGGCTACTTCATTATTAATGGATCCGAAAAGGTATAGTAGCATAATTTCTTTTTAATTACCAAATGATGATTTAGATTTTAATCATGAAAGTTGAAATCAAAAAGTAAACTTTTGTATAATCTGGAAGTAGCAGTTGAATTATTGAGGTGACAGCCGAATTTATATTAAACCAAAACTTTGTTTAGTTATATATATTGGGTTGGTCAACCCAATAATATACACTAGAAATTTGGTCAGTTTGAGCTTGTATGTTTTGGTGAAGCGTTTATGCAAAATGGAGTTTGTAAAGTTCAAGAATTGATGTTTCAGTGAGCCTATACAGTCAGACTAAATAAAGATGTAGCTTTCACTGTTCTTTCTAATTCAAAGACCTCGTCGGTTTTATGGCTGTAATTTTATTGTCCATATAGGTTCTGATTGCTCAAGAGAAAATGGCAACAAACACAGTCTATGTGTTTGCCAAAAAGGATTCTAAATATGCCTACACAGGAGAGTGTAGATCATGTCTGGAGAATTCTTCTCGACCCACCAGTACTATCTGGGTTAGCATGCTGGCAAGAGGAGGACAGGTATGGACTATTATATGCTATTTGGGTTTATTCCTTTTGGTCTAGTTTTGTAAGTTACCAGGCTGCATGTTTAGTCAGAAAGTTTTTCTGGAGCATATTATCAGTGTTGTATGGTAGGCATTTTATTATTTACTTATTACTGTGTAGTAAATCACTCCAGTAGCAACATTTATCATCTCACAGTGTCTGGATATGGATTAGCTGGGTCCTCTGGTCACAGGGCTGCAAACAAAGTGCTTGGGCTGCAGTCATCATCATAAGGCTTATTTGCATGGCTGTCGGCAAGATCCAGTTCCTTGCTGCATGGCTCCCCTCCATACAGCCCCTGACAATATGGCAGCCTGCTTGTCAGAGGGAGTAATTGAGCAGCGCCGTAGAGCATATGAGCAAGGTGGAAATCACCATCTTTTACACCTTAATCTTGGAAGCAACATCCTATCATTTTTGCCATGTTCTTTTTGTTAGATACAAATCAGTAGTACATCTAGTCTATACTCAGCGGGGGGACTACACAAGGTAGTAGTAGTAGACAGGGATCATTAGGCACCATCTTAGAAGCCACCTACCACGGGCATGTTACTTACAATAATGTAATCTAATAATAGCATTTCTTGACTGTTTGCTATGTGCCAATTATGTTACTCAGATTGTTTGATTTAATCTTTGCAACTATACTGGAAATTTGTTGTAATTAACTATTTAATTTCATGTACATTTTTATTTGTAAAATTTTTTTAAATAAGTCATATATACACATTAAATAGTTCAAAAAAGTACAAAAAAGTGTACACTATAAAAATTAGTCTTCCTTTGACCCCCAGATCTCTTCTCTAAGAAGCAGCTGATTTGATAATTTCTCATGAATCCATCCAGAAATAGTCTTAATTAAAAAATGCAAATGGGGGCTTTCCTGGTTTTACAGTAGTTAAGATTTCGCCTGCCAGTGCAGGGGACACGGGTTCGATCCCTGGTCTGGGAAGATCCCACATGCCGCAGAGCAACTAAGCCCATATGCCACAACTACTGAGCCCACGCGCCGCAACTACTGAGCCTGCATGCTGCAACTACTGAACCCTGCATGCCTAGAGCCCGTGCTCTGCCACAAGAGAAGCCACTGCAGTGAGAAGCCCGTGCACCGCAACAGAGTAGCCCCCGCTCGCCACAACTAGAGAAAGCCCACTTGAAGCAATGAAGACCCAATGCAGCCAAAAATAAATTAAAAAATTAAAAAACCAAATGGGAGCATACTATGCACACTGTTTGAACATTGCTGATACCTTTTAAAAACAGGTTTAGATCAGCAGTTGATCATTGTTTCTAAGCTGTGGTATTCCATGCATAGATATAGCATAATTTATTGAGCCATTTCCCTTGTGATGGATGTTTAGGTTTCCAGTTTTGTGCTCTATTATAAACAGTTCTGCAGAGTCTAATGTCACTTTAATAAGTTTTATAAAGAAGAACTTGAACATTAGAGAGTTTTAAGTGCCTGAAGTTAAAATCCTATGTGGAATAGGTGCTTTAAAGAATTAAAATGGTTTTTACTTGTGAATGGGGGTAGAATAGGGCCCAAGTACAAGTGTTTGGAAAAGATCCCCAGGTGATTGTGATGTGCATTCTTTGTTGATAAGCATTGGCCTGGATTATGGAGGGCAAAAGAAAGGAAAATCATCTAGATTTAGTGATAAGTTTGATATGAGGATGAATCAGTTAAGATTCTTTGGTTCTTTCCAGAATTTTCATTTAATCAATTTAGGAATCGGGCCTAAATTGCTGTTGGTGCCCATGTTGCTGTTGTTTTTAATTCCCCAGAGTACTCTAATGCGAAGCCAGAGTTGAAAATCACTGAGCAAAAACACAAGGTCTTTGTCTTATTAATCATGGGAAATAAAATTAAAAGGATAATATTTTAAAGGGAATGAAGTGAACAATCAAGGTGTATGGTCTTTATTTTGTTGAAATTCAGTATACATGTATATTTCTGTGTAGGTTTTTTGTTTGTTTTTTTGTTTTGACCTTGCCACTCGGCTTGCGGGATCTTAGTTCCACGACCAGGGATTGAAACCAGGCCTCGGCAGTGAAAGTGTTGAGTCCTAACCACTGTACCACCAGGGAACTCCCTCTGTGTAGTCTTCTTAATTTTTTTTAATTCACAAACAGTTGTTCATAGTGGTTCTGTCGACTTGGACGTTGTGGCTAAAAGATGTAGCCAACTGCCCATTCCCATACTCTGTGTGCTTTCGGAGTGCTTTGTAGTCAACCCTGGCTAAGTATGGGACAGTTGGTATCTCACAACTCCTTGTATCCACCAGGCTTTGTGTAATCATTGCCAAGGGCTTCATTATCATGTCCATTAGTGCCCACAGTAGCTATTTTAAAACAATCTGAAACCTTCCCTCACCTTTCCAACTTTACAAATTACTTGCCTTGGGCCTTGAGGCTTGCTGGCAATGGAGTGAAATTAGGATTCTCAGCCACTGAATTTCCTGTATTTATTAGGCTCCTAAAGTGTGTGCACCCAAAAAGATGACTAGTCTGCCTGAGCTGCCAACATTGTGATTATAAGTATCAGCAGCATGTGGACAGCCGTGAAAAAAAAAAAATTCTATCGTTCTCTCCTGAGGTTCTAGATAAAATAGAGAACGTCCAAGAATTGATTTTTAGAAAGAACCTAGTGAGTTCATTTTTAGACAAAAGGTTTGGAGGGGGCGTGGTGCATGGTGTAGGCATTCTTTTTTAATGTTTTGTGTATTCTGAAAAAGGTCTATGATGAAACAAATGGAATAATTGAAAACTAAGTTGAAACAGCCAAATGGCAGTTGGGATGGGAGGGTTGAGAGTACAGGAAAAAGGTCAAGATGAAGATTCACCTGTCCTTTATGTAAAGTTGTTACTGAACATCGGTGAGATAGGTTAAGGTTTCTAAGGAAGGAGGCCTGAAGTAGGAGGAGGAAGGCAACAGAAACTTATGAGATGGACCATGATAATGTAGGGTTATGAGGCCAAGAGAAGATAGAGTTTGATATTGAAGGAAAGAAATTTGATTAAAATTGAGAAACCAGGTGTTTGTATGCCAGTGTAGTAACTTTTATTTCACTTCTGTGTTGCAATTAAAGAGGGAGAAATTGGAAGAGAATCTTATGTGAGAGAGGCTGTTTGTTGATTTTGAAATGTTATTCATATTTGGAGATATGTCACAGACCAACTCTGAGTTAGTATTTATTTTTCATTCTGTGCTTAGCTTTTTTCCACATTTGTCTAGGTATATTCTCTCTTATTTTCCCCTCATCTATTTCTTTCTTCCAAAATTTTTAATTGTTTTGGTTGGGGGAAAGGACGAGGGGGGGGGGTCTGTGTTCATACCTGCAGCCAAAGGTCATTTCCAAATACAGTCTGGGGCAGTTCTAGAGGATCTTGGCAGACAGAGAGTAGAGAATGGAAGTCCTCTCAGGTTCAGATGACCAGCCTATCCATCAAATAAGTAAACCTCTTGCAGTGGTTTTTGAAAAGCAGCCATAGGACGTTCCTTAGAATATGAAAGGCATGCCTCTTTTGAAATACCTACAATGAACATGTATGTAAAATGGTTCTTTTGATGTTTATATATGGCTATAACGTCTGTATTCTCATATTCTAATGATTTTTTATTTTTCTAGGGTGCAAAAAAGAGTGCTATTGGTCAGCGCATTGTGGCAACCCTACCATATATCAAGCAAGAAGTTCCCATCATTATTGTGTTCAGAGCATTAGGTTTTGTGTCTGACAGAGATATTTTAGAGCATATTATTTATGATTTTGAAGATCCAGAGATGATGGAAATGGTAATGTGCAAGGAAAATGTATTCATAGCATTTTTCAAGAGGTTTAAAGTTACTGTTGCTAATCCAAAAACATAGTAGAAAGCTGCTCTGAAGATCAGTTTAGCTGTTGCAAACCCCATGCTGTTTACTGTGTAGTGAAAGCCTTCAGCCCTGCCTTGGCTTCTTTCTTATTTTTTTTTTTAAAGGCATATAAATGCCAGAATTTAATGAATTAATTTTCTGTTTTACCTTTTTTTTTTTAACACCTTTATTGGAGTATAATTGCTTTACAATGGTGTGTTAGTTTCTCCTTTATAACAAAGTGAATCAGTTATACATATACATACATCCCCATATCTCTTCCCTCTTGCATCTCCCTCCCTCCGACCCTCCCTATCCCACCCCTCTAGGTGGTCACGAAGCACCGAGCTGATTTCTCTGTGCTATGCGGCTGCTTCCCACTAGCTCTCTGTTTTACATTTGGTAGTGTATATATGTCCATTTGGCTTCTTTCTTGACAATTCTCTGTAAAATCGACATGAAAACTAGAGGCAGTCAGAGTTCATTGACAGCAGCAAGAAGAAACAGTAGTAAGGAAAATCGTAAAAGCATACTAGTCTGATGCAGTGTAGTAAAAAGGGAAAATGTAGTTGATATCTTCTTTTTTTAAACAACTTTTTATTTTGAAATCATTTCAAACTTACAGAAAAGTTGCAAATAGCTCCTGTATACTCTACACCTATTTTCAGCAGTTGTTACCTAATGCTGCATTTGCTTTAGGATTCTCTTTATCTATATATACACATTGTTTTTTTCGGGATCATTTGAGAGTAAGTTTTAGGCATCATGCCCTTTTACTCCTAAATACTTCAGTGTATATTTCCTAAGAATCAGGATATTTACTCACATAATCATAGTATTACAATTTTTAAAATTGGTACTTCAGTGCAGTACATACAGTTAACTTGGAGATCTTATTTAGGTTTATGTCAGTGGTCCTGATCATGTCCTAATGGCATTTCTTTTTTTTTCCTGGTTCAAAATCCAATCTAGGATAATGTATTACATGTTGTTTTTATGTCTCTTTAGTCTCTTTTAATCTTCCCTTGTCTTTTTCCTTAGTGTTTCATGACACTGAAGTTTTTGGATAGGATAGGCCATTTATTTTGTAGAATATCCTTCAGTTTGGGTTTTTCTGACATTTCCTCATGATTTGATTCAATTTATGCATTTTCTGGCAGGACAAATACAGAGATCATATTGTGTGCTTCCCAGGGCATCACATCAGGAGTCATATGATTTTATTTTGTCCCATTATTGGTAATGTTAATTTCACAGTACCGTCTGTTAGGTTCCGCCACTGTAAAGTTATTATTTTTGTGGGAAGGATTGTTGAGTCTAGAGAAATATGCATTTCCTTATCAATCTTTTCCATTGATGATCCTTGGCTAAGGAGTAGTTGATATTCTTAAAGTTGTCCTGAATCATCCAGAGTCTTTAAGACTACAGAGAAATAAGGTAAAATACAGGCTAAACATCGGTCACAAAGAAGGTGGAGTATATTTTAGTTATTAGAGTATTTATTGATATGGTTACATGACAAAAATGGATTCTGGCTAGATTTTTGGCAATAGTCATATGCTTTTTTTTTTTTAAACTTAAAGATAATAAGTATTTAGATACTTAAAAGATAACCTTTTAAACCAAGGCTGAAAACAGTATGACACATTTATTCATTTGAGACTTAGTAAATTTTAATTTGAGTGTTAAACTTCTCTAAATTGATTTTAGATATTTGAAAGGAACTTTTTAAAGCTACTGTTCATTAAAATGTAAAAAACAAAACATCCCCAAGACTCACTGTGCTCTGTTATAATGGAATTATTTGTATTTTTCTGGAAAGTATAATTGTGCTCATGAGTGGATTTTTTTCAGAGGTCCCTAGATCTCTAAGGTGTCTTCAAGTTCTAAGATTTTGTGATTCCTTGAATTTCTAAAAATATTTGCATATTCAGTTAGGTTCATAGGGATATTTAACAAATTAAGTGACAGTTGCCTTATTTTAAAGTAAAGATATGAATTTGAAAATAATTTTTATTTAAATTAACTGCTAGGTTAAACCTTCTCTCGATGAAGCTTTTGTCATCCAAGAACAGAATGTCGCACTAAATTTCATTGGTTCAAGAGGGGCAAAGCCTGGTGTCACCAAAGAGAAAAGGATTAAATATGCAAAGGAAGTATTACAGAAAGAAATGCTCCCTCATGTTGGCGTCAGTGATTTTTGTGAGACCAAGAAAGCTTATTTCTTGGGGTATGTCAAATTTCATCGTTTTAAGTTCTTTGTCAAGCTGTGGTTGAGATAAAATTTTTCTTAAAGCTAAAAATGTCAAAATTGATGTTTTTAATGTGTAAGTTTAAAAAAAATCCCAAACCATGTGCTTTCTTTTTTACTTCTTTCTTTTCTTTTTTTAAAGGTACATGGTTCATAGGTTGCTGCTAGCAGCTTTGGGTAGAAGAGAATTAGATGACAGAGATCATTATGGAAACAAAAGATTGGACCTTGCTGGACCACTACTTGCATTCTTATTTAGAGGGTAAGGAATTACAGAATGATATTGTTAAAAGTAGAGAGATTTCACTTTAGATTGGTTATTGCACTTGAGATGCTAAACTATCTTGGCATCCATATTGGGTACACATGAAGGTAGCTACATTCTTTGCCACTTGCCCAGTTTAGTTCTATTGATACTTCAAATTTGAGAATTTCAAGATTGTGAGGAAATTTATAACTTGTTTACGTTTTCTCTACCTTTACAAAGCATTTGAGAAAGCTGAATTATTGCCTTGATTTTCTAAGTGCTGATACTGGAATTTTTATTAGTTCTGCTTTGCAGTTTATAAAAACAAAAGCTGGAAGGAAGTCTATCAAGGTATTAGCAGTGGTTGTCTCAGTATTGGGGTTATATGTGATTTTTATCTTATTCTTGATATGTTTTTATATTTTCCATATTTTCTATAATGAACATATAATACTTCTATAATTAGAAAAACATTTGTAAAAATAATGTGGGTAATTTAATACAGAAATAATATTAGCAATGTTTTGTACGTGTTCTGTTATTTATTATGTTGTATATTAGTGTTTTTCAACCTCGTTTTGTTATTGCCCCACTAAGGGGCCTCTTTTGACTATTTTTCTCTAATTGCTTTGCTTGTATATGTTTATGTACCATATGTACGTCTGTGCTTTTTATATAAAAAGTAATAACGCTTCCCTCCCTCTACCTCAACCACTTTTTGCCCCCTTGTGGGCAATATTGTCCTTGTTAAGGATGCATATTGTAGACCTTTACATGTTTAAAACATTTTATTGGGCAGAATGTTTAAGAATTTGCTTAAAGAAGTACGGATCTATGCCCAGAAGTTCATTGATCGAGGAAAGGATTTTAACTTGGAGTTGGCAATTAAAACAAGGATTATATCTGATGGCCTAAAATATTCTTTAGCTACTGGGAACTGGGGTGACCAAAAGAAAGCTCATCAAGCCAGAGCTGGAGTATCTCAGGTACGGATGTTAACTGTGACTACAGGTTTGATAAGAAAATGTTATGGGACTAATAGAATCTTTCATTCACTGAATGTAAATTGTTTTGCCTTTTTTTTTTTCTTGGTCAGATATAAAAGTACTTGGGGGCTTTTGAATTATGAAAGTGAAATTTTTCTTAAATTAGCTGTTAGCATTACTAAGAGAGATTTAAAAGTTTTGACTTGCATCAAGATATTTAATGAATTCGAGTAGCTTCTTGGGAGGTGAGACAGTCCATGTTTGTGAAATTTTTCTGTTTTTTTTAAATGCCTTAAATATTCTTTTTTAATTAATTTATTTATTTTTGGCTACATTGGGTTTTCGTTGCTGTGCACGGGCTTTTCTCTTTAGTTGCTGTGAGTGGGGGCTACTCTTCATGCGGCGCGTGGGCTTCTTGTTGCATTGGCTTCTCGTTGCGGAGCACAGGCTCTAGGTGCGTGGGCTTCAGTAGTTGTGGCACGCAGGCTCAGTAGTTGTGGCTCACAAGCTCTAGAGCGCAGGCTCAGTAGTTGTGGTACACGGGCTTAGTTGCTCCGTGGCATGTGGGATCCTCCCGGACCAGGGATTGAACCCATGTCCCCTGCATTGGCAGGTGGACTCCCAACCACTGTGCCACCAAGGAAGTCCCAGTTTTTCTGTCTTAAAAGCTCTGTATTAGAAGCTGATACCCAGAAAATAAATGGGCATCTGCTTCCTTTTTTGCAAAATGTAATACTTCTAACAGTGATTTCTCTATGTTGGCCTGTTGTCATGTACAGTGATTGCAATAGCTACTCTCAGGAGTAATGGGGGAAACCTTTTACAAAAATGTCTCACTAGGTATTTTTAATTTATTTTTTGTATTTTCGTGTAAGATTGAAAATTTATAGTGTATATGTCTAGCTTTATGGAGGGGATCTCCCCCTCTTTTTTTTTTTAAACTAGCCTATACCAGCATCACCTGATTAATTTGGCATTCAGACACCAGCTTTAAGCTCCTGATTCCTAGAAACCTAGATGTTTTAAGAAATTCTGGAAGGATGCTTATAGTCCAGTTAAATTTCTAGTTCCTTTTAGTTTAGTAAGGATTTGTTGAGTCTACTTGGTGTTTGTGATGCTGGGTTCACAGAGTTGAATGAGATGCTCTTCCAGCCCTCGAGCTTACCATCTATTAGAGGAAACATTAGTCCATGTACAGTTCATTCTGCCTTGAGCTGAATTATGATAAACGCCATCCTGCCAATTCAGTTCAGTGTGTGTACTGGGACTTAAGATGTGCCAGGCACTCTGTCACACACTGGAGATACAGAAATGAATAAAACATGATCCTTGATCTTCAGTAGTTCACAGTCTATACTCATAGATGTAAACAGATATTACAACATGATACAGTGAGTATTAAATGAGAGCTGTGCACACCTGCTCTGTGGGAATGCTGGAGAAAGGCATTAAGCACTGGCTGAAAGGGTGAAAAGAAGTGTTTTCTTTAGGAGGTGACAGTTGAGCTGATTCTTGAAGGGTAGTTGGGAAATAGCCCAAGTCTTGGAGGAGGGTAGAACCAGTAGCTCACAGGAAAACTGGAGAAAACTTAGTATCCTGAACAAAGGGACAGGGAGAAAAGAGCATGTGTATGTGGAAGGAGCTAGAGCATTCTTGGGTTTTCAAATCAAAGCGGGAGAGTTAGGAAGATGGGGTTGGAGTGGGGAGCTGGAACACCTCATAGAGGGGAGTGACATGTTCATTTTTGCTTTTTAGGTAGCTTCACAGTAATTGGCAGTGTGGAGAAAGATTTGAGAAGGGCAGAGTGGTGGCAGAAAGATTGTTGCAACAGCCTTAGTGAGAAATAATTAGGGGCTGCACTAGAGCAGTTTCGTGGAGGTGGAGAGTGGAGTCAAATTTGAGAAATATTTAGGAAGTAAGTTTTGTAAGACTTTGTGACTGATTAGTTGAATGATGGAAAAGTAGAGAGAAGAGAACAGTTCTTCCTGGAGGTGGGTCGTATGTCTTCTATGGACGTGGTAACATTTCACCAGACAGAGCAGAATGGGGTAGTACATTCCATTCTGTGGCAGTAGCGTGGTCAGAGTTGTGGAGGTGAGAGGGTGTTTGGCAATGTGAATGGAGTACAGGAGTTCTGGAGACTGCTGGTAGGGGAAGGTCATCTGGGGCTTCATTGAGAAGAGCTTCAGAGTTATGCTGCTCTAGTTGGCGGGGAACTGTTTAATATTTTTTAATTCAGTGAGTGATGTGAACTTATCTATATCTGTGTTTTAATAATTCTGGTAACTGAGGAGAGTAGATTGGAGAGGACATTACAGGAACTTATGAGCTGATGGCAATAGTATAGGTAAGAGGTAAGGGGCTGGTTTATTGCTGTGACATTGGGAATGGTTTTTTGAGAAAGTTTGAAAATAGAGTTGACAGGATATGTTTATTGTTTATTATATGTGAAAGGAGGAAGTCAGAGACAAAAATACCTTGAGATTTCTAGATTGGGAGATAAAGGGAAGGGTGATGCCATTAACAATGATAGGAGACTTCGGAAGAAGGAGGAGGATGGGTTGTTGTAGGGCTGGGGAATGTGGTGATTTTGTTATTAGGTACATTGAGCTTGTGTTGCTTGCTTTATATCCCTCTAAATATTATCTTACGTACAAGTATTACCTTGCTTAGTGTTCTGTAAGTGTTGAATCTCTGTGTTGGATTCAGAGGCCTCAGCCTGGGAAAATTTCTCGGATGGATTAGTGATGTCTGCTATGATCAAAGGAATGTGAGTTGGTAGCGTATAAGACTTACTGAGTGCCTAATGTATGCCAAGTGTACTGTTCTAGGTACAGGGATACAACAGAGAACGAAACAAACAAATAAAAATTCCCCACCCTTGTGGAACTAACATCCTAGTGGTTGGAGATAGGCCGTAAACAAAACATTTATGTGGTATGTTAGAACTGTATGTCATATATTTGCCATCCCTGCTGTAAGGGTCAGTTAAGTTACAGGGGTGAATAAGATTATCCAGGGCAGGATGGAGAAAGGAGGGAGGGATGGGGACAGTTGGACACTGAGTGGATTATATGTAAAAATATGACTTGGCCTGATTCTAGTATTTGCCAAAAACGTGATAGTGTGAGTAACTGAAATGCCCAAACTTTAAAGATTTGCTATTGTTTTCTAGGTATTAAACCGCCTGACTTTTGCATCTACTCTTTCTCACCTGCGTCGTTTAAATTCTCCCATTGGTAGAGATGGCAAGCTAGCAAAACCAAGACAGTTGCATAATACGTTGTGGGGAATGGTGTGTCCTGCTGAGACTCCAGAGGTAATGCATTAGAATTTATGTTCAAGACAGAAAGTCCAACAGTAATCATGTAGGGTATAATTACTTTTATAAGAAATTTTTTGTTACTTATAATTTTATTTAACTATGTAGTATAGTTTAGAACTAAGATATTATAATTTTGTTCTTAGGAAGTAAGAGTATATTCTGAAATCAAATTGGAGGAAAATGTTTGTGGAAAAGAATTTGGATAGGCATGTTAAATCAGTATGAGTAATATGTACTTTATTTATTCCAAGGGCCATGCTGTAGGACTTGTGAAGAATTTAGCTCTGATGGCTTATATTTCAGTTGGATCTCAGCCTTCTCCAATCCTGGAATTTTTAGAAGAATGGAGTATGGAAAATTTAGAAGAAATTTCTCCTGCAGCTATTGCTGAGTGTGTATAAATACAATTAAAAAAAAACTTGTTAATCTTCGGTTATAACTTATTAGAGGGTTACTAAGTGCAGAATGCTTTTGGTTTTGCATTTTAGTGCAACCAAGATTTTTGTTAATGGCTGCTGGGTTGGAATACATAAAGATCCTGAACAACTTATGAACACTCTACGGAAATTGAGGCGTCAGATGGACATCATTGTGTCTGAAGTAAGAGTCCTTAATTAATTAAGAGGACATGATCTCTGGGATTTCCAAACGAGGCATAAAGACTAGTGAAAGTTATCTTTGCATTGGTATCTTTCTTGGACTGGTTTCCTTTGAATTGTAAAGTACATTTTCAAAAGTCTAGATGATGTTTTGAGCTAGATTTAATTATAAGGTATTGTTTGCTTTAATGCCTTAGATATACGCATCTAAAATTTTGACATGTAATTTGTTATTAAATTATATTTTGGAATTCAAATTACATTTTGAAGTAAAAAATTCTTTTGAGAATCTTTTTGTAAGGCTGACTACAGTGCTTTTAAAAAGCGAGTGAATATCTCTGATTTCTCCTTTGTCGGAATCCAGAGATTCATTCATGAAATGTGATACACCTCTATTAGATTCCTTTATGTTTAGGTGGATGTTGAAGAGCTCTGGGATTAGGATGGATTTTTTTTTTTAGTCATCAAAATACTGTATGAGCTTTATTCCTCCCCAAAATAGGGCTTTTGCTTTTAGTGTACTGTATTGAGGGCTGGGCTCAGGCTTTTGATTTCCCCAAATCTACACCTTTGGGTCTGTCTCGGTGAAAGTGGATTTGGAGAGAAACTGTAACACACTTAAGCTGACCTCCTGTCTATGTAGCAAAGCAGAGAATCGAGGTTTGGCTGCTCCAGGCCTTCCTCTAGCAGGCAAACCCTGGATTTTGACCCAGGCGTATTCATGGCTTGAAGAAGTCAGGAACAGCATGCTTCACTTGAGTGTGGCAGGCAAGGCTAAGAGAAAGCCTAAGAACCAAAATTGGTTGTGTTATTTGTGATTGAGAACTTTGTTAATGCCAGGTGTTTCTGCTGAGAGCTGCCTTTAGGTTTTCTGTCTTCTCTAGGATAAAATTAAATTCTTCATGCTGTTTTAGGCCTCTTTACCTTTCCATGGGCCCATTCCCTCAACCTGGAATGCTTGTGCTCCTTGTCACCCATGCGTCCTCAAAAATGGGTAATGGGAAAAGGGTGCTTATTACTTTTTTTTAGGTAAATCTCACCAATTCTGCAAAACTCTAGTGTTAACTCTCGTCTCCTTCAGGATATTTCACCTGACCACCCAGTTTGATTTAGATCAGAGGTTGGCAAACATTTTCTTTAAAGGACCAGATGTTAAATATTTTAGTCTTGGTTTACCTTACAGTGTCTGGTGTGTATTCAACGCTGCTGTTGTAGTAAAAAGTAGCCATAGACAATACATAAATCAGTAAAACTTTATTTAAAAAAAATAGATGGCAGGTGAGGGCAGATTTGGCCTGCAGGCTGTTCGCTGAGCCCCTGATTTAGATCTATCTCTGTGACTATATGTGGCATATTTTCCTTAAATAACTTCTGACAGAATGCTTATACCAGATAGTAACTGTTGATTTATTTGCCTACCTCACTTTCTAAACTATTAACTTCTCAGAGGCAGGGAACGTGTCTTAATATGACTTTGTATTTTCAGTTCTGAGCATGGTGCCTGACATGTAGTGTCTGACACTGAGTGAGTGTTTGTTGAAACTATAAATGGACCCTATGTCCTTGGACTAGGCTGTTTAATCTATTGGAGAGTGTTGTTGGGACCTTTTTAGTGGGAAAATTGTGTATATTTTTCAGGAGTCTAGTACTTTTTCTTTTCCTTCATATTTTCTGATAATCAGAGGTCCTCATTTTACCCATTTCTAATTTTAGCCTTGTGTTGGACCTGTTAGGCTTTCCTGTCAGTAGTCTTCTCAAGAACACCTGTTTCCTTTGGAACAAGATACTGTTTGGCCTTTGAGGAGACGCAGCTCAGTTTATGTCTTCCTGTTAAGACAAGAGCTATATTCTATTAACTGTATTGTAATATTCTGTATTCTATTAGGAATTCTCTAAGGATTCAAGGTAAGCATTTGAGAATGCCACGCATGGTGTTTTTGCTCATAAACACAGTGTTTCATCTCAGATTGTTTTCTAAGGACAGGAAGTGGGCTAGGAATGTGGGACTTATCTTCTTGGCTTTTCACTCTTTACTTTGGGAGAACTTGGTGTTTTTGATCAAGCTTTTATGATTTACTATCATTTTAAAACTGAGTAATCCAAACCTTTCCTTTCTTAAATAAACCCAATCTTTAATTTCTTTCTTTTTTTTGGCTGCATTGAGTTGCTTGCATGGTTTTAGTTCTCCCACCAGGGATCGAACCTGGGCCCCGGCAGTGAAATCGCAGAGTCCTAACCACTGGACCACCAAGGAATTCCCCACCCAATCTTTTCTTTAATAAAAGTATCCAGATGGTGATTTCACTTTTTAAAAGTACTTTTGTGTAGAAATACCAATCTGTTTTTCCATTTCCCAACTCATTGGCAATTCATTTCTTAGTTGACTTTTAAGATTATATATTAGATCTAGATAATTTACTGAAGATTCTTATTTGTTTACTTCTTGACATTTCTTTTTATATTGGCACTTCAGATTCTGTAGTGCTTTTAATATTATGTTCTTTATTGTAAGTTTTCCCAAAATGTTTTTGATGTTTTCCAGGAATATATTTTCTAGCACTATCCAGTAGAAATATAATGCAAGTTAACATATGCAATTTATGTTTTTCTAGTAGTGATGTTAAAAAAGTAAAAAAAAGGGAATTCCCTGGCGGTCCAGTGGTTAGGACTCTGCGCTTTCACTGCCAAGGACGCGGGTTCATTTCCTTGTCGGGGAACTAAGATCCCGTGAGCCATGTGGCGTGGCCCCCCCAAAAAAAGAAATAGATGAAAATAATTTCAATATATTTTATTTGACCGGATACATCAAAAATATTACAATTTCAACATATAATCAATGGAAAATTATTAATGATAAATTTTATTTTATTTTTTTGTACTATCTTTGAAATCCAGTGAGTAGTTTATACTTACAGCATATCTCCTTTCAGAATGGCCACATTTCAAGTGCTCAGTAGTGACATGTGGCTAGTGACTGCTGTATTAGAGAGCTAGACTATAAACCATTTGTCTTATAGGTGATTGTGAGAAGTCAGGCTTATTACTGGGAAAGCCTGATCAAGGCAGAGTGATATAGGGCTGGATATTGAAAGGTTACACACGCGAGGTACATGTAATTACCAAAGAGGGAAAACAAGAAAATAAGAAATATACTAGTATTTGTGATATCAAACATATATTTTCTTCATTTTAATTTATTTTGCATGACATTATTACCAGATGTTGTTCAGCTTTATAATTACCAAGGTTAGATATTTATCCTATATAAAATTTTAAATTATACCTAGGTTTTTAGTATATTGAACAATGATAAACTAAGATCTATTAATCTTATTTGATAATCTATTAATCCTGTTGTATTTTTAGCTAAGCCTTAATGATACAGAGAAAATAAAAGTTCATGAGACTGTTTTGTCTTTTTATGTATAGGTTTCTATGATCAGAGATATTCGAGAGAGGGAGATTCGGATCTATACAGATGCAGGCCGTATTTGTAGACCACTTCTGATTGTGGAAAAACAAAAGCTACTTTTGAAGAAGAGACACATTGATCAATTGAAAGAGAGAGAATATAACAACTACAGGTAAGAACATGCAGTTAGAAAAAAAGTTAGATATAATTCACATGCCCTAAAATTAAGCATTTTAAACTATGTAGTTCGGTGGCTTTTAGTATAGTCACAACATTGTGCAACCATTACCACTATCTAATTCCAGAATATTTTCATTGACCCGGAAAGAAACTCTGTACTCATTAGCAGTCACATTTGCTTTTTCTTAATTTTTGTTATCAAGTAAGAGACTTTTAGGGCTTTATTTAAGCGTAAAAGTCTTTGTGACATGGTAAAGACTACCTCTACTACTAATAAGAAATAACCTCTGTGCTTTCACTGCATGGGGAATGGGTTCGACCCCTGGTTGGGGAGTTAGGATCCTGCATGCCGTGTGGTGCGGCCAAAAAAAAGAAAGATAACCGATGTGATATAAATAATGTATAACATAATATAATAATAAATTTAATAAAAAGAATCTTTTACAATTTATTATTAGTGATATATGAATGTATATATTTTTATTGTTAAAAATTCAAAAAATAGGTGTAATAAAAATATATAAAAGCCCCCAATTCACACTCTCCTTTTCAGAAGTAAATACTGTTACCATTTGGGGTATTTGTTCTTCCAGACCTTATTTTTTGTTTTTATATACTCACCCTAGCGCCACAAGTAGGTTCTTTAGATCAGAACAGAGCAAAACAAACTAACAGTAGTTACAGAGCCATACTTTATGTGTATTGTTCAGTAACTTGTTTCTTTCACTGTTAACAATAATATGCTTATTTTGGGACTCTTTCTATGTGAATGCATACAGATATAGGAATACTCTTTATTAAGTAGGAAGCCTAGTTAATTAAAATAGTTCAGGAAGTAAGGAAATTAAATGAATTCTTTTTTAGTTGGCAGGATCTTGTGGCCAGCGGGGTAGTAGAATATATTGATACTCTAGAAGAAGAAACAGTGATGCTCGCAATGACCCCAGATGATTTACAAGAGAAAGAAGTAGCCTATTGTTCCACATATACGCACTGTGAGATTCATCCATCAATGATTCTTGGTGTCTGTGCATCTATTATTCCTTTTCCTGATCATAACCAGGTTGGTAGCAGTTTATGACTATGCTTTGTGAGGAATTGGGGGAAGCAGAATAAAAATTAGAGATTAGTCTGTAGTTTTTTCTGGAAGAAAAGCCTTTTAGTGTAAAGACGATGAACTACAGCATTTAATATGCTTATTCTTGTGTTTGACTCTTAAGAGCCATAACTAATTATTCCAAATAGTTATCACTTATCTTTCGGAAAGAATAGGAACTTTACCAACCATATTTCTGATTTATGAAGTACCCTGTAAAGTCTGTTTATTTAGAAGTAATTAAATTTTCACCGATTCTGCTTTTCATTTCTACCTTTAGTCCCCTAGAAACACATACCAGTCTGCTATGGGTAAGCAGGCTATGGGGGTTTATATTACCAACTTTCATGTTCGTATGGATACGTTGGCCCATGTCCTCTATTATCCTCAAAAACCACTTGTGACTACACGGTCAATGGAATACCTACGATTTAGAGAGCTGCCAGCAGGTATGTTCAGTTTTGTTCTACATTTTTTAAGATCCTGCCATGCTTAAGACACTTTTGTGGGTTCTTTGGAGGGTTAATAAATGCATATGACACAGTCTCTATTCTCTTAGAATTTATAATGTGGTGGGAAAACATGAGCACAATTCAATAAAAAGGTAGATATATGTAAAGTGTTATGATGGAGGTATAGATTCCTTTGGAAGCACAGAGTGAAAGAAATGATTGATTCCTGTTGGAGTCTAGAGCCAATTTCATAGGCGAGGTAGCATTTTGGACTAGAGTAAAGTTGATGAAAGGGTATTTGAATTTGAGAGATGTTTTGAACAAGGTCCTGGGTGCATGAAGGCAACTGTCAGTATTTATATCAGTTTAGAATGGCCTGAGTGGAAATGCATGGGAGTGATACTTGGTCTCATAGTGTGGAGACAGCAGGTTGAATTTTATTTGGAGAATGAAGAACTATCCAGCCTTTTTTTTTTTTTTTTTGCGGTACACGGGCCTCTCACTGTTGCGGCCTCTCCCGTTGTGGAGCACAGGCTCCAGACGCGCAGGCTCAGTGGCCATGGCTCACGGGCCTAGCCGCTCCGCAGCATGTGGGATCCTCCCGGACCAGGGCACGACCCCGTGTCCCCTGCATCGGCAGGCGGACTCTCAACCACTGCGCCACCAGGGAAACCCTATCCAGCCTTTTTGAACAAGGAAGTAATACAGTTACAAATTTATTTTACAGTATAATTCTGGCAGTCACGTAAAGGATCGATTAGAGTCAGATACGGTATTAAGTAGGGAGGTAACTTAGAGGCTCTTGTAGTGGTCTAAGTGAGAAATGGTAAGGTCCTTATTAAGACATGAAAAAGCGTAAGGGCGTGAGACACCTGTTGGAATACACTTGTTAAGATTAACACTTGATTACTTATTGGATGTAGAATGATGAAGAGAGGGGAGAAAGGAATTGGAAATATTGTTGGTGTTCTTGGCTTGGGTGATCAAGAGAGAGATACTATTAATAATATTGGGAGCATGTTAGAAGAAAAGAGGTTTTATTTATTTTTTTAAATCAATTTTTATTGGAGTATAGTTGATTTACAGTGTTGTGTTAGTTTCTGCTGTACAGCAAAGTGAGTCAGTTATACATATATCCACTCTTTTTTAGATTGAAAGAAGAGGTTTTAGATGTAAGATAATAAGTTCAGTTTTCAACATGCTGATTTTGAGTTGCTGCCAAAGCATCTCAGGAATGATCCTCCAACAGTGAGTTGCAAATGTGGTTAGAAAGAAGGTCAAATCAAGAGCTGTGAAGTTTTTGATATATTAATGATAATTATAGATTACTGTGAAATTGCTGAGGGAAAATTCAGAGTGAGAATAAAGCCAGAAAAAATAAAGTCAGGCACCAGGAAGAGAAATCCAGAGAGATTTGACATGTAGGTGATAGGGAGAAGAATCAGGAAGTTGCAGGAAGAGATTCTCAAGGAGACTGGACAACGGGTAAAATGGTGCAGAGAAGACTGAAGGGTATCAGTATTGAATATAAAGGAGACAGCATAGTTCTTTGGCAGAGTTGTTGTCTTACTGTATTATTAACGGAATTTTGGCTTTGACCCTGGATAACATTATTTAGTAAATGGATAACATTATTTAGTAAAGTTTGCCTTGTAAATAGTGACTTTAAATTATTTAATAGGGGATCTAACATTTTGATAGCAAACTCTCACAGGTTAGAATGATTTATTTTCAAAGTCTTCCACAAGGGGTTACTATTGTCTAGAAAAACAAAATCTGTTACGTTGTCTACAATGTACTGGTATCTTTGGGCTATACTTGCAGTGCTGTGTTTTTCTTCAGCATTTAGATAATTTCTTTATGGCTAGAGAAGAAAAGAAACAGGTGAAGGATTGGATTTGAAATAGAATGTTCCTTTGGCACTGATACGAAGTGGTGAGGGCATGGCTGGTAGGGACTACAAGCCTTTCAGCTCTGTTATTGCTTCATGCCTTAATCTTGTTATCTATCTATATTTTAAAAAACTTTATTTTGAGATAATTTCAAGCTTACAGAAAAGTTGTAAGACTGTTACAAAGGACTCCTATATACTATTCATCCAGATTTCCTAGTTCACATTTTACCACATTTGCCTTATCCTTTCCCTTTCTCTTTCTTCTTGAACCATTTAAAAGTTAAGTTACAGACCTGAAGCTACATGACTAATTTATTTATTTATTTATTTATTTTTGGCTGCGTTGGGTCTTTGTTACTGTGCGTGGACTTTCTCTAGTTGTGGTGCATGGGCTTCTCACTGCGGTGGCTTCCCTTGTTGCGGAGCACGGGCTCTAGGCACGCAGGCTTCAGTAGTTGTGGCATGCGGGCTCAGTAGTTGTGGCATGCGGGCTCAGTAGTTGTGGCACGTGGGCTCTAGAATGCAAATTCAGTAATTGTGGCGCATGGGCTTAGCTGCTCCGTGGCATGTGGGATCTTCCCAGACCAGGGCTTGAACCCGTGTCCCCTGCATTGGCAGGCGGATTCTTAACCACTGTGCCACCAGGGAAGTCCCACATCACTCTTTAATTCTTCAGTGTATGTTTCCTAAAAAAGATGTTCTCCACAGTACAACCATCAACATCAGGGGGTTAACATTGATACCCATCTAGTCAGCAGTCCCCAATTCAGACTTTGCCAGTTGTCCTCATAATATCCATTATGGGTCTAGGATCTAATCCAGGATAGTGCATGTCTCTTTAGTCTCTTTAATCTGGAACAGTTCTTTAGTTTTTCCTTGTCTCTATGACCTCCACATTTTTGAAGAGTCCAGTCAAGTTACTTTATACATTGACTCTCAGTTTGGGTTTGACTATTGTTTCCCCATGATTTATATTCAGGTTATGAATTTTTGGCAGTACTAGCATAGAAGCAGTGCTGTATTCTCAGGGCATGATATCAGGAAGCACATGCTGCCTCTGTCCCATTATTAGTGATTTTAACTTTTATCATGTAATTAAGATGTTGTTTGTCAGGTTTCTCCACTTTTTATTAATTATAATTATTTTGTACTTATTAGGTAAGTAATAAGTCTTTGTGAGAAGATACTTTGAGATGATGTGAATAGCTATTCCTTGTCACACTTTCAGTCATTAATTTAGCAGGCGATTATTGCCAAATGGTGGTTTTCTAATCTTATCATTCCTCCCTGTTTGATGCTGAAATTGTCCCAGATTTTCCAATGGGAGTATCTTCAAGATGACTCCTGATAGGTCCTCACTGTTCTTCAAGCACTTCCTTACATTTTGCCTCATCTTGTGCTTTTCTTCCCCTGAACTTGGACTTGGTCATTTCTCCTTTTAGGATAAAAGAATAGTGTGTAGAAACCAAAATCTGGGTGCTAGGTGTGCTCCTTGCTATTATAATGTCATCATTTCTAGGTCCTCTCGGCTGTTGGAACTAGGAAAATATATGTATGCATATACCCCTCCCCACCTTTATCTATTTTTATATCTCTATATACTAAAGAACCATGAGTTCATATCAATACCATATCTCCCATCCCAGTACAACACCATAGTGTTTATTTTAGAATTCCATTCTCTGACAGTGGAAAACCTGGCTCCCTTTGTCTTCAGTATATTTAGTTATTTGCTCAATCTATTGATGTAACCAATCTCCTGACCATCGTGGCTGAATTATTAGCTCTGGCCCTGCCTAACCTGCCAGCTGCATTGGCCAAATTCTAAGGGGCTTAGGAGCCCTAAGGGGAAGGGGCTAATAGGGTTATCTTAAGGAATGTCTTTGGATTAGTATCATTCCTATTTCTATAGAGCACTGTTTCTTTGGTTGACATGTTCTGGGAGCAAAGATCCTTGTGACAAAAGTTCACCTTGACTTAAAGTGGGTCAAGATACTTAGAGCCTCCTTACTGCTGAGCTGAGGTTTGAAGTAGGTGGGGACAGAATGGCTGAAAGGGTTTGAGCCTGGCAGGCAGGTGGGTTGTAATCCTAGATTTCACATGTTTATAGTCTTTGAGATCACAGAGACTTTTTTGAAGTTACTAATATTTATTGAGCAGTTTGTGTGAACCACCACCCAAGGCACCGTACACGTTATTTCTAAGCATCATAAAAGCTTTGTGATGTTTTTTCACCTACAAAATGAGAATAATAATAGGACCTGCCTCATAAAGCTTTTCTGATGATTAGATGGTTAAATCCACTTAAAACTCATGGCTTAGTGCCTAGCAGTTAATAAGGGAGAAATAAATGTTAGCTGATTAGTGATAGTGGTGGTTGTATCATTATCTCTGTTTTACAGATGTGGCGACAGGATCAGAAAGGTTATTTGCCCAAAGTTTATACAACTTAATTTGAAAATCCAGAATGTAAACTCTGGTCCTTTTTTTTCCCTTTTAAACCAGATGTACACCTTCCCCCCATTTCACTTTCTTGTGCTGTTTCCTCTTCACTACATTGTTTCTTGATTTGGGGCTTTTAAGCTAAGAAGAAAATATTAGACATATAATTCAGAAGTTTACTGTTTTTAGCTAAATTTAGCTGATCTTTCAGACTTGCCCAGATACCTTGGATAAAGGTTGTAGGATGGAGGGGGTTGCCTCCTGGGCTGTAGTTGATATAGCAAGTGTGGGTGATCCAGGGATTGTCACATGAGAGGAGGAAAGCCCCACAAGGGCCAAGACAGTTGAGCGCCTATAGGCTGTCACCTGGAGAAGAGGGAGGGCATAGGTAGCGCTGCACAGAAACATGAGGACGTGCTAGGGAAGTCTTGCCCATTCCATGTATCACAGATGTCACGTATGTCCTGCTCCTGGCTCCCTAGTAGTATCATATTACATCTCCCAAGACCCTGGAATTTCTGCCAATTCCCGACTCCTTTCAGATCCCCCCCTGCCATCAGGATCTTGCATCTTTATGTACTTTTTCTGTGTTATGCAGCTTGACTGTGTGTGAAAATTAAAATTCTTCTAGTTTTCTCAGACAATCCACACAAAAGAGTGG